TGACCAAAGGCAAGAGTGATGTACGTTTTTCGCTATATACTTTCATACTCATTTGTAGTTGAATTTCACAGACTTGTAGTTAAGATTTTTGTAAGAGTTGTGTTCACTGTGGAGAATAATACTAATCCTCTCGCATCAGCATGACTATTTCCTTCGAGTCTCTTCAGAAAAAGTTTTGCCTAATATGGGCATTCAGGCCACTCGGCTCATCCTCTTTCTAAGACTCTGAGATTTCACAAGCAATGTTGGTACAGTTGAGCTCCAAAGAACTGGAACTTTTCGACAGTTTGTACGATCAATAGTGATAAAGCATTGTCTTTCTTCTTTCTATTGCACAAATGCGGTACTTTTGAGATTTGTATTGATGTGTTCGTTCTTGGAGCATATCGCGATGTTCGCTATGGTCAAATCAGTTTTCTAGTACAATATCAGAATCAGTGAGATCATCAAATCCAGAAATTTCATAATTTTGCGGTTTTCTATCGATAATCAATTATGCAAATATTATTTCAGTGCATAGAAAGGAAGATAAATGTTGATTGCATGAAAATGAGATGCATGCATTTCGCAATATGATGACCTGTAGAATGTATCTATCAGTGGTAAATGCAAAAATGGAGCCATGTTTGTTTGTTTGTTTTTGTTTTAGTTTATTTTATTATTTATAACCATTATTGGCAATGTGCGACGATCCGGCATCTCGCTTGGTCATGCTGAGACAGGGTGAGACCACAGTTGATTCAACACAACGTGGATGCACACCATCATTGCTTCTCTCATGTATCGTTCTCACTCTGACAACGGCCTTTATTTTTGGCTGGGGATTGGGTGCACCGAACATGTACAATAGCTTCACTGAATTGTTTCTTAAAGGTCAAGATTCGTGTATTGTTCAAACGCAAGCTGTGCAAGAGAACAATGGAGTGGAGAAAATAGGGTCAAGTGTATCGAAACAACAATCCACGAATGTCATCGATATGGCATATTTGAAAAAAACTAATGAGCGAGTAGACAATCAATCGGTAATCATAGCCGAAGAGACTATTCGATCAATGTCAACAGAGAAGAGATACAACTTTCTTTCTGAATTGATAAAAGGTATTCCACAAACAGTGTTTCTTGTCGGAGCATTTCTCGGCGCGTTGACTGGACCATTCTGGGTGAAATTATTCGATCGCAAAAGAACAGTTTGTGCCAATTATATCTTTACTTTTATTGCGTCTCTTTGTATGCTCTTAGCTTACCTTATTAATACTCCATGGCTCTTCTATATAAGTCGATTGTTTCTTGGCTATCAAGGTGAGTTCATCTCAATGTCTATTAATATATCTGAGTATATGAGATATTAATCTTAATTAACCACAAGAAACATAGCGACCTTGTAGCTAGGTCATGGGCTTTCAAAACCCACAGATTACTTCTTTTGTTTTTTCTGATGTTTTTTTTGAGTCACCACAGTCTTTCGTATCGTATTTGCTAACTTTTGACTATTTTTCTGATTATATTTTTAAGCCAACTACAAATACTCATGAGCTACAGTGCGTTTAAAGCTGCATGAAAAATAAAGATCTAGCTAGATCTCTACTCTAAAAATATGTTTCAGTACTTTCTTCAACAAGAAACATGCACTCTTTCTCAAAGAGCTTCGTTAGTGATGAACGCAAGTCGATAGGGACCCAAACAGGTTCAGAAAACCTTGTTCTTTTGTAGTGCTAATAGTATTTAATAGTTATGTTCGCATGAAATGACTCAGCTGCTCACATGAAAAATTAATATTATCTTCTGCAAACAGCCAGTACCATGTCCATTTCTGAAAAAATAGCTCTTGAAAGCTTGTATTCTCAACGAACTTTCGAGAAACAACTGATTTTTAATCATTCGTTGGATTTATTCATATCCATATCTTTGAACGTGAAAGTTTTTGATTCAAGAAGAATGTCTTCACTGAGCTCTTCCTCTTGGACTCCTTTGTCTGTTTACTCCAAGTCTTGATGTTCATTATCGTCAAAGCAGTCCTCAAATTAATTATTCAATTCACAATTGGAATCTGAAATATGCCTTTCTCTGCCTTTATTGTTGTCATTCACTATGTCATTGAAAATGATATTTCGATAGTTGTGAATTCATATATGACTGACGATGAAGTTTAAGAAAACATGGAATGTCACGTTGTTTTTCTCTGTCAGAGGATCAGCAATTTTAAACAAACAAATAAGTTCATAGACACGGGTAAAGTCATTGCACGAAATCATTTAAATTTCAAGTGCAGATAAAGATGAGAAGTCACAATCAATCGAAGATGAGTTTGTAGTTTCCCTGTAATGTTTTTAGAAAGTTAAGATGAGAAGATAAACTCTCATTATAATTCTTTATGACCTAAAACAGTAAGACTTTGTTCGCCAGTCAAAGAAATTTCAGGGTGGTCAAATTGACAACAATTGAACACTTGAGAAAACGTCGGTGATTGTACGTATTTCTCGAAAAAGGTACACACGACAGAAAAATGAACATATACATATATATATAGAACATTATCGACCATCTTACGTTCAATGAAAACAAGAAGAATGTATACATCTGAAAAAAAGTCCTTGGCGCAATTTCTGCAATATTATTATGTGACACACGACATATCTATTGTTGCTAGTCACAGAGAGATTGTCGTATTCTATTTATTTTTGGGACACATTTCTTCAACCTCTTTATACTTAATCATCTAGAAATGTAATAAAGAAGTAGTTGATATATTATAACGAGATATAGTTGACATAAGGTCTGGAATCATACATTAACAATGTCTACCATGTTCTATTATAGAGAAGAACCGCTTTTAATAATATCTCTCATGTATGTGATAGCTTATTACTAAAATATCTATCATATCTGTAGCGAGAGTAGAGCATCCGGCTGTTTTACTTTTACGCTGCAACACTCCCTTTAGATCCTGTTTTACAAAGTAGAAATGGTAAATTTTAAAGAATATTTCCTTTGGCAATAAATACTTCCACAAAAACTATCCTATGTCGTGATACCACTGGGAATTCTATGCCATCGTATACATAGATCACTTGCATACCCATCGTATTCTTTTGATGTCAATAGAAATCGATGAATTCCGAATCTAACTAATACAAAGTCCAAGATATTTCAACAAATTCTTGTCTCAATTTGAATCAAGTCAAAACAATAACAATAGATGAGATCAGCTAGAAGTTGAATTAGTACATTCAACGACGCAAAAAACGTAAAAAGCTAAGTTTCAATATTTCTAATCGAAATACGCTGCTAAAAACAGCATTGTCTATTGCGCATATATATCTATCTTTCTCGGCATTTGACTGAACTTTAGTCAAGATCATCACTCTTACAAAGTTCTAACTAGATTGATGTGTGTAAAAAAAACAAGTATCCGTGAAGTATTTGACCGAAATTTCACACTATTCTTTATTAAAAATGAACAAATCAGCCATCATTCGATTGAGCTTATTGAATTCTATCGATCAATATGTGTTTCCAATGTGTAACACAATCCTTAATATCCTAAATTTAGAAAAACACTTCTTTTCTCGTGATACCGGGCATCATTGATTTTCTATAGGCTCTGTAAAGTCTGCTTAACTACTATAAAGCAATCAGTCATATCATCAGATATGGATGCTAATAAGGAGACGAATAGTCTACAATAAGTGCGTATTTTCTGGGACTTGATCAAAATATTTCAAAAATCAGATGACTCTCCATCATGTTCAAGAACAACATCACTCTACGGTTACAATTATTTCTTACTTTTTATTCTTATATTTCACTATAATCAACTAATTTTTTTACCACAAAGAAAGAACCAAGAATGAACAAAATTAGTGTTAATTTCGAATAAAATAGTTTACTTATTCTCCAAAATATTAGGTAGCCATAATTGAAAAAAATTGCTACGAAGTTTGCAACAAAAAATTTTGCGTTTTGAACCTATCTTCTCTTTGAAAGAAAGATTAAAAGGCCAACATTTTTACAGAGAGATGCAGCAATATGTTCTCATTTAGCCACACTCATTTGGAAAATTTGAAATTACCTACATGCAAAAAAAAATCAACTTTTTTTGCATCTCTAATGGAAAATCTAAAGTATCTGCAAGCATCAAGAAACCATCACAACAGAAATAATGATAAACTAACAGTCATAAGTTGAGTTAGTGAATAGATAGTTAGTCACCTTTGCTTTCGACTCCTGTCTGAACAAACGAGAACTTTTTACGAATAGAGCAGTAGACTCATGGATCCAAGGCCACTAGTTTATGAGTTTGTGAACCATATAAGCTTCAAATCCGCACACCCAATACAGATAGAGAGTTGGAAATTTTAGAAAGTGTGTGAAGCTATTAGAGGTAGCTGAGACAAATTTTCATGAAAATCAGTTGCAACCTTTGGTTTTATTCTGATTTTATCTTCGGAATTTTCAATGGTAACATTGCATTGTAACTGACTCGTATTCATACCTTTGCTTGCAATTATTTGTTGCAAAAGGTTTTTGATGTAGTGAAGACATACTTGTCCTCACATACTGATAAACTGAATTATTCTTTCTGTTCAGTGTTATTAAAAACCTTATTTTACCCAAAACTAATAGTGTATGTTGAGGATGTAGGTATGGCTGTGGTTCTAGAATATCTCTATGTGCCTTCTACGATCACACCGATTCCCACGCTCACATTCACAACAATACCCTTCAACCATTTCATCACAGACACACTGTGACAGACGGGGTAGGCTTAGATTTGAAGCTTGAGACATTAGGAAGCATTTTATTAGATTTCCATCGCTAGTAATCAGAAAAAATGCTTGGTTTTATCAATGATTTTATTTACGAGCAGAGTCGATTCATCGAGTTTCACATTTTAATGCCAAAGGAGCTATGTAGAAAATTTTTGGTATGATATCGACTTTTGCACTTTAGCAGATTGTTGTAAACTATAATTTCTTTCCTCCTTATTCTTAACAGGTGGAATGGCATGTGGAGTGGTCCCACCTTTCATCAGTGAGATCGCCTCACAACGAGTACGTGGTGCAGCCGGCGCTTCTTTTCAACTCGTTCTGACCATTGGTATTCTTGTTGCACAATTTATTGGCATGCCTTTTATTGCTGGAACATGTCGCGGATGGGGATGGGGATTGTCTATTGTATTTTTGCTACCATTTTTCGGTCTCTTTCTTCTTATCTTGTTACCAAACTCGCCTACACAATTGATTGCTAAGTATAATAATGAAGAACAAGCCGAAAACGATCTAAAACATTTACGTGGAACAAATGATGTGCACGCCGATCTTGAGACGATTCGACAGCAGATAAGAGAACAAAGTGGTTCTGGTGGATCAGAATCACTTTCGATCCTTCAGGTAAATAACACATCAGTCAGAGTAAGAAGTCATCATACTTATAATATCTCTTATTGATAGATATTAAAAACACCTCGATATCGTTGGCCGATGCTGACTACAGTCGTCCTTCAACTTTCACAAGCAATGTCTGGTATCAATGCCGTTTTCTTCTATTCTTCAAAGATGTTCGAGAAAGCACGTATCCCTAATCATTTTATTCCTTATGCTAATCTTGGGACCGGTCTTATTAATGTGCTTGCCAGTATTGCTTCTCTGTCGTTAATTGAGAAAGCTGGTCGTCGAGCAGTGATTGTCTATCCAATGGTCATTATGGCTATTGTTTTTGGTTTGCTTACTGTAATTGTCGAACTCAACGAGAGACTGAATAATCCTATACTGGGCCTGATTTCTGTCTTACTGATACTTATTTTTATTGTCTGCTTTGCGTTCGGTCTTGGCCCAATCCCATTTTTGTACGGTAGTGAAGTATGTCGACCTGAGGCACGCGACGGTGTACAATCATTGGGTTTGGTTTGCAACTATTTATGCAATATTCTACTTTCGCTTTTTTTTCCTGCACTACATTCGGTCCTTGGCGGTTATGTCTTCCTCGTCTTTTTGGTCTTCATGCTACTTAATGCAGCATTTCTGTGCAAAAATATGTCTGAAACAAAGAATAAGACAATTGAAGACATTGAAAGATTTTGGGGCATTGAAACAAGCACTCAAAATCCACCAACTGACAAACTGTTACCTGTTACGGTGTGATTTTAGACCAGAAGCTTTTAATCAGTGTTGAAGTACGCGTGTGGCAAATAATTGTTGAACATTTGGAAACAGTTTTCCAATACTTTATCTTTAAGTTGAATCTGAGTGTAAGCATTTGTTTAGCATTGTTATTGATCAAGCTTTGATATTTTATGAAGTAAATGAATTATTGCCCTTTGACGCTGACAAAACAGCATCAAACATAAAATCTCCAGAAGTAAAAAGTTCTGGGACAGTTTTTCTTCTATTCATTAAGTAAATTTATTCGATTGAAAATAATACCATTGGAAAGCTGATAAAAAAGCTAAGCATATTTGATATGTTTTGTTTTATTGTAGAAATCATAGTAGATATATGTTTTTTGTAAGACAGTCTTTGGCTGAAAAATGCTAGTGATCATTAATGATCTGTTCGGAAACAACTATAAGAGAGACAAAGCAGTGTTTTTTTCTTTGCTCATTATGAAGAACTGCAGAGCAACGACAATATGAGACATCTCAGAACCTTCTTACATGTCAACTGGATGTAGTGGATGGCATAGAAAAAGAACAATCTATTTGACTACCTGTTTCCACGTAAAAATGGCTGAAATGATGTTAAAATATATATAGTTCTACCTTGCTTCATATTTTAGTGTATTATTTGACATGTATGAAGGCTCCGAGATATCTTATTTTGTTGAAATTCTGCCGCTCTTCAGAATAAGCAAAGAAAAAAAATACTGTTTCGTGTCTCTTACACTTGCTTCTGAACAGATCATTAATGATCGCTAGCATTTTTCAACCAAAGACTGTCTTACAAAAAGCATCTATCTACTATGATGTCTACAATAAAAAGTACATCGAATATGCTGAGCTCTTTTATCGGCTTGCCAATGGTACTGTTTTCAATCGATGAATAAAATAAAAACTGTTTGAGAACTGTTGCCCCTAAAAATTTTGTGTTTGATGCTGTTTTGTCAGCGTCAACGAGCAATAATTCGTTTACTTCATAAAATATCAAAGCTTGACCAATAATCAAGGTGGAACAAACTGATTTCAATTTCTGAAATCACTTGAAATCAGTTGAAATCACTGAGATCACTTTAAATTACAAAATCACGAAATCAGTTTGTTCTCCCTTGTGAATAAAACTGTTCAACAAACGCTTACACTCAGATTCAACTTAAATATAAAGTATTATGAAACTGTTTTCGAGTGTCCTCCAACTATTTGCTACACTTTAGTTCACAGCTTCTTTATGTTTATTCACTGTCTTCCTCTCTCTTATTTTATATCTGTTTTATATGGAACCAGCACAAACCACTGAGTGCAACAGTGAAAGCAATGTGTCCGTACGGGCTCGTTTCACACTGTTACCCGCTTCTTCAGTACTATTTTCAATATCATGTGTATCCTTGCAGCACTTGCTAACTATCTGCCTACACTATCACCCAATTGTCGTGTCCATACACTCAACTGCTTCATTTATTATCATCACTGCATAGCTTTTAAATACATCAACTGAAATCGTCTGCTTTTATTCCTCATTAGTCATATCAATAGCAAAGGAACAAGGGCTGACTGTAGAGTTTTCTTCTTTCGGCAAGTTATGCCGTCATTGATGCGCGTGAGCAATTGCATGAACTAATTAATCAAAATAATCAGAAGTACCGCTGTACTATAAATGCATTACCAACTGAGCTTGACGGAGAACACTTGAAGTGTCCAGTCTAGAGGTCTTCAAGGTCAGCGATTTTGATCGTGCCACATACTCCACATACGATCGTGGTTCAAACTATTTAGAAGTTTTAACAGTATTCGAGTGAGACTCATTTTCATTCGTTGTTTTGATTGGTCGAAACATATTTGGCTTTGTCTTTTCTTGATCGCATTCTTACTACCTTTTTCTGTCACACTTTACAGGATTTGGCGTTGCTGATGCTCGTCTACCGAGCCTTCTATTAAGAAAACTGGCAGACCAAAAGTCCAAATCGCAGATGCATTTGAACTATCGATGAAACTTCATTACAATTTCTGCAACTGGTGTGCTACCAAGGATACATTGACGGTCTCTGTCATAAACTGATATCCATCACATTCATCCTTGGGAGCTATAGTTGGTCTACTGTGTGATTGGTGTAGTCGTCGGTGTGGAGCGTTGAACGCAAGTGTGGATGCAGTTGGTTTGGATGTGAGTAGGAGTGTGAATATGGGTGTGGGTGTGGGTGTGGGATGGTGTGGGTGTGTGGGTGGGTGGGTGTGAGTGGGTGTGGGTGGGTGTGTGGGTGGGTGTGGGTGTGTGAGTGATCAATGGGGAAGAACCCACACCCACACACCCACACCCCCACTCACCCACACCCACCCACACCCACACCCTTTTTCAAATAACAATTTGACAGTTTTCTCAACATATGTCAATAAAAAAAATTGACAGTGTGTTGTGAGTGATTTTTGATTCCGAAACCCGACTCCGGTACCGTCGGAGACAGATACAGTTTACTATCAATGACTCATATTTTAACAAAGTCTGCCATATTAAACGAAAAGAAAAACGCCTGTACAGAACAAAAGAATAGAAATGATGTAGAAAGTTGTGTGATGTATTTCGTTTATCTTTCAGGTCTTTATTAGTCATCAAGTGTCATTTTATCAACGAAAAACTACAACTTTCTCTTTTGCAATAATGACATAAAAATAAGAGTCATGTTGCAATGTCATCTTTTGCCATACACTCAGTGGCTGTTTCAAATATCATGCATTGGTATATTCATGAATGGAGGTATCAATTGAGAAAATTCCAAGCAGTTGTTTCTTCCGTTTTTGATGCTATAAAAATGAATGTCACGAAAAGAATATAAAACTGTTATTTGAAATCACAGATTTGATACCAATATCATTCGACATTACTTAAAGGTATGTAAATATGATGTAAAAATCGACTTGAAATAATTGCAATCACGGATTCATATCGTAAATACAAAAATCCTATAAATGCCAAGTACTTAGTTTCTAACATTTCTACCTTAACTGTTACGTCAAAACTGATGCTTCAGAGATCAAATAATTGCCGCTTTGTTTCGAATTTATTAGTACATGTATGATGCTTAAGATCTCGGATAGCTATTAAAATCAGATCATTCAATTCGAAACCGTCAAGTCGATCCTAAAAATTACTTTTTTGTTTTGCATTCACGTCGCATGATTAATGTGACAAATAATATCATTATTAATCGACCGTTTCTAATTATAGGTTAATAATTTCATTGATAAAATGGAACGCAACGAAACAGAATTTCAATCACGAGGACAAATTCTTGATCATTTTCAAGTAAATCTGTTACTATTGTCGTTAGTTATCGCACTATTGTTAATTTTAGGCTGTAACTTGTTTCAATTTCGAAGATTCAATTCGCTATCTCAATCAACACCAATGGAACTTAAATGTAAGTTACGCCATCATTTTTATATAAAAGAAAAACAACTCACTTTTATCTTCGAATCAATTCATTCTGATATCTTTTTTTCAGAGCGCACTGCAAGAATTTTATGCTGAAAACAGTAAAGTTTTATTTATTTTCTTTTTATTACATTGCATGGCACATCTTTTTTGTTGTGTAGCTCCCGAAGTAGATCTTACCAACGGAGGCACTCATTTCTTAACCAGTATGATTATAAGGGAAAAAAATGATCAATATCTTGCTAAAATGATTTATAAGCATGAAAAGGATTCCAAAACTCAGACCGTAAATACTTCTTGAATCTTTGATAAGGAAAAGAAAATAAGAAAGAATAAATCATTTCTGTTTTGACCTTTGTTAGGACATATCCAATCTTGTTGTAATGGGTGAAATAAAATGAATTGCTCTTGTGGCTCACAATAATAAGAAGACCGAATTGATTGAATGTCTTCGACAACATCGTGACATACTTGCTAAACATAAATTGTATGGTACGGGTACGACTGGATCATTAGTCGAAAAAGAGCTTCAAATACCTGTCACTAAATTTGAAAGTGGTCCTTTAGGTGGTGATCAGCAATTAGGTGCAAAAATTACTTCACGAGCACTTGATATTCTAATTTTTTTTATTGATACATTGGATTCTCATCCTCATACTGCCGATGTGCAAGCACTTCTTCGTTTAGCTCAAGTCTATGGTATTGTTTGTGCTACGACTGCTGCTACGGTCGATTTTTTACTCAGCTCACCAAAGATGAATGAACCTCATGTACGAAAAATACAAACAGGTCAAACATTGAAACCAAAATAAAAACTCATTTGATAATTATATATTTTACAAGTAACGTTCGTCGGTACGATTCACTTGACCCTCGACTGGATTCATTATATTTATTCTGATTATCCTTGACAAACACATATACAATTGAGTAATCCACAATGTCTAGAGATCGGTTCTTCTACACAAGTGAAAGATAGAAACGAAATAAATTGGAACGTATTAGCGCTCAGATTATTCCTCATTAGAATTCAAACACCTTCAATATTTTTACAGCCTCAACCGTTTTTTGTAGATTGAGCTAAACATGACTTCCAAAGTGTTTTGCTCTCTTAATGACACAGATTGCGCCTATAGAATTAAGTCCTATGCGTATCACCTAACTTTATAGAGTGTAATAATTTCCAGCGCGAGTTTGGAACAAAACTTTTACATGATTCAAATTTAGATCTGGTGATGAATAGCTGTGGTGGATTCTAGACTCATAAAGAATAAAACAGTAGAGAGGATCATACAACATCCTAAAACTAAATGTTTTCTGGTGTGTTTCAAGAGGTTCAATATTTGTCGTAGCATAGGGAAATCCGAAGAAATGTTAACCTTTTTATTTGTTGTCTAATGTTCCTTCTTACAATAAGCATAAAGGAAAACCATGTTACTTCTGCATACCAGTTATCCACAATCCAACTTTCACAATTATTATCTTTTGAGATTCAGCCACAAGACATCTGCTTTTTTCTACACGGATGTTATTACAGGGAGAATTTGTTAAGTAACGCTTTTCGCCGAACGTACGTTAAGAATGTTGTACATGTTCAGGAAAATTCTTTCGTACAATTAATTTGAAAGAAAATTGCTTTTCTTTTTTTGCTGATTGAGAACACTATTTCAACCGGTTAAATTCGATTGGTTGGTAACTGCTCTACGGATTTTGGGTCTGCCAGAAGCGTACTTTTTCTGAATCTTTCCAAGCAGCGGCTAGTCGTTCGTCGGCGCCCCTACGGGGCGCCACTCACGGCTAGCCGCTGCCATACTTAAGTGTAACTTCTGTATTGATAATACTCTTTCATTTACTATTGAATGGCTACACTTTTGACTTCTTCCAAAATCTTCTTCAATTTACCATAGAATAATGTTCTAAGAATATTTCCAACAAATGAGATTTTGTTGTAAATCACTGTTCATAGTTGTAATTTCATGACCATTCTAGGAAATAGGCGTTATATGAGAATTTCTCATTAATGGAATCTTGCCAGAATTCTCTCGAAAAGCGCGGTAGGCTTCTTACGAGCTTTCACTAAGAACATCATTGATGAACTTTTAGAATCATCGACTAGTCTTTCGTCAAAGCTCCTCTGGAGCACCATTCACGGCTAGTCGCTTCCATGTTTAAGTGCAACTTCTCATTCGAAAACCTCTTTGTAGAGCTCAGATGCATTTTCGAACAAAAGTGTGAGATGAACTAAAGTCGCAATGTAGAGGCTTCTACCATTTCCTTTCTAATAGATACAAACATAGAAAATTGAACGTGATGGATTATGTTCATCGGAACGATGGAGAGGCGAAGCATCAGGCATTAGGTATATTTGTCGTAAAAAATTAGAAGAAATCTCGACAGAAATTTCCGATAAGCGCAGATTTTGTTGTGAACTATACTTAATACCTTTGTTTTTTTCTCGATCTTGCTATAAAAACTGCGTTAGATTGGAATTCTTCGTTAACGGAAACTTGATGAAGTGTTCCCAAAAGACATGTTAGATTTCATACCGATCTATTCCCAAGCATAGCTGCAATTGACCTCGAAAATGAGCGGCCAGTCGTTTGTTGGCGCTCCTCCAGAGCACCACTCACGACTAGCCGCACCCATGTTCAAGTCTACTTCTACATTGGTTCATTCTCTTGTATCCACAACCAAACTTATTAGTGTTTCCCTAACTCAAAACAATTACAGAATTGACAATAGAAGGACCACCTACATGAAACTCAAAATAAGCAGACAAAGACGCATATATCTATAAACAGGGTGCATTATATCCACGTTAATGAAACGTCACTGTGAAATCCTCGTTGTCTTCTACAAATAATGTTTTTTGAAAAGCATGAGTTCCTCAAAATTTGATTGAACGAGGAATGCACCCATAAAATACTGATCGGCTTAAAGCCCAGATTCTCACAACCTGATTGGACGAAAGCTAGGTTTTGGAAAACGTTTCAATAGCTGAAATTTCAAACAGGGATAATCTGATGGGTTGAAAGCCCGATATCGAAAAGCCCCGATTGGCTGAATTTTGAAGCTGAAAAAATCTGATTCGTCGACAGGCCGATATCGAAAACCCCTGATTCGCTCCATTTCCAAGCTGAAGAAATCTAATTAGTCGAAAG